TTATATTATAAGGATCCTATGTGAGAATTGGCTAAAAATGAATTTTGGATATTTAATAAGTTAAATAAATTGGGATTTAAGTTGAATGTATGTGTACAGGAAAGCAATCTTCATAATTGCAAAACATTGTTATTAATATTGTGTAGATTTAGAGACCCCTATGAGTTTGATATCCCCATATTAATTTATGCGGACACATTTTTTTCATGACAGGCACGTAGCATCGGGGAGGGGGGAGGAGTCTGCCCCCCCTTTTTTCCAAACATGAAATTTTATAAAATTTTAATATTGTAAATGTTCATTGAAAGTCCGCCCCCCCCCCCCCCACTGTTTGTTGCAGAATATTCTTATAAGGGTGATGTAGTAGTGTATGAGTAAAATTTGATACTGAAAGAAGTTTGAAACCTATCCCCACACCCAAAAAATAGAATTTTCGAGTTACTTTTCGAGCCCCCCCCCTTTCAAAAACGATGTTACGTCCCTGCATGGGAATATTAAGTGGTAAAAGTTTTTGAAAATCTGAATAAGAACAGCAGGGTTAAAGTCATTAAAGTTACTCAGGTGAGTATTGTGGCACATGATCTTCGTTATTCAAACGTTTTTGAAATTATTTCTAATGTTTGGTGTTGTATCTCTGTCAAATCTGCAATAGTTGACTTATATCTAAAGCATGAAAAAATGTTCCGACACTGTAGCTCCTTTACTTCCTATTAAATCTTTCACATTACAATGTTCAACTCCCATGAGTACTTTCAGTACTTTGATTTTTTCTTTGCAGGCAAATGCATGAACTATATCATGCTAGTAGTAAATAAATATCTTATCACTCTTAGATTTATATACATCTTTAATGAAGCTACAAAGCAGGCGAAAGGAAACACTATTTGTCGTAGCCGCACTAAAGCCAATTTTAAGGTACTGAATAAAGAATGACTTAAATTATAAAGAAACAGTGATGGATGCATCGTATTTAATTTGTCAAATCGTAACATTGTTGGTCTACGGAATTTTACTGCAATTTTTGTTTAGTGAAAGACTGGTGTTCCAGAGGGGAAATTTATTCATACCGGTATTTCCTACATTTTTCTCTCTGACACTGAACAAAGCTAAATCTACTGAAGCCTATTTTATCTTTAATAGCCTCTCTAACGATCCCAAAGTATATATCAATGTAAAACGGTTATCCAAGCAGTTCAGTTATTAATTAAACAAACTTTAACTCATTTGCAAAAAATTGTCTTGTTTCTCATTATAATGTTTCTCTTTTTACTCATAAGGACAAGTTAGGGAATACCGTTCACGGTAGCTCAGTCGGTAGAGCGCTCGCTCCGTGATCGAGTTCGAATCTCGGCCGCGACAGACCTAAGTCGATAAAAAATAGGTAGCAACTGTTCCTTCGCCATGCGCTCGGCACTTTGGAGTGAAAGTTGCGGGTCTTTCGGATGAGACCTTAAAAACCGAGGCCCCGTGTCACGGCAGGCGTTGGCACGATAAAGATCCATCACTGCTCAATGGCCCTAAGTGCCGAGTAAAGGTCAAAATTTGAAGCCCTTATGGCGAAGTATATGGTGACGACTCTATATGAGTGAAAAATTCTCGAATGGGACGTAAAAAAACAACATACAACATACAAGTTAGGGACCATTTACAATATGAGCCAAAGGGCTCTATCAAATTAACAAATTTGCAATTGATTCCAATGTACGGGAAAGAGGGGCATGAAACTTTATGTGACCGTGTGTCTTTTTTTATATACAACAAAGGACTTCATACGTATGTTTATTCAAACTGGGTATAACTTTTGTAGCCCACCCACTCAAGCTTTAAGCCATTAAATCCTTAAGGATTATTTTTTGAAGAAACCAAAATTAATGAAACATAAAAAATATTATATATGCTTATTAAAACTTGGGTATATATATTTTTTTTATTTTCCAATTTTGTTTGATCAATATCCTGTTTTAAAATCACTCTTGAATATATGAAATTTAACTTATTTGCAGTTTGCTAAATAATTATAGTTTTATTTCTTTTATTCAGTAAAAGTGTAGGATAGGCAAGCTTCTGCTCTCTGTTTTCTGAAGTGAAAAGTGTGATAATCTCATATTTGACGAAATTCCAATAGAAATGAGGAAATTCGGTAAATGTCCAACTTTTGTCACCCTCTTGTTAACTCCGTAAACGCTTTGAATCAAAATTAGTTCTTGTTTAAAACAAAAGGCATTTAAAGTTCTTAAATGGTAACTATCATAATTTTAGCTGTGTTTTGACATACCAAATAAGGGGCAAAATAAAATATTGCCGTATCATACCTTCTCCTTTGTTCGTAAGTAAATACATGTATACCCACTAGTAAATTTTTCTCCGCGTAAACGCATTATAATTCGACAACTGCTTCCTAAATAAAAATGAAATTCGTAAATTTTCATATCTTGTGACTGGAGTTTCGCATTGATAATACATATGTAGTTTTTGGAGACAAGGTCTTCCAACAATCTGTTGGAATTTCGATGGTCGATAATTGTGCTCCTGTATAAGCCAACCTGTTTTTATACTCCTGTGAAGCAAATGTTATTCAAAAACTTCTTCATGATCGAGAAGAGGAAAACTTTCTGTCGCCTTCAATTCAACATTTAGATATATATGTTTTAACAATTAACAATTGTTACTTAAATTTATACGTCGACTCCATATATTCCAGTAAACTCGAAATAAAATACACAATACAGAGTCTGTCACATCTGTTTCATATTTGGATGTTTCTCCGACCGACTATAGAGATAAAGACCAGCTAATAATTACATTATATGACAAACGAGATGACTTCAGCTCTTCCATCGTCAGCTTCCCTTATTAATGCAGTAACATTCCACTACCTCCTGCATATGATGTTTATGTCTCCTATCTTATTTGATGATCAAGAGCATGCTCTGAATACGATCGATTTTTAAACCGAGGCAGGCTACTGACAAATAGATTGACGTTAGAGTGACCACCTCGTTTAAAATCAGCATTTCGTACGTTCTAAGTCGAAATAATGACCTTGTTAGAAATATAACCTATCATCAGGTCTTATTTTGACTGACATGAATTATTTCATTCCAGTTGTAATACTAAATTTCACTACAAATTAATCCGTCTTCGTGATCAATACATAGGGCTCACGGCGGGTGTGACCGACCGACAGAGGATACTTACTTTTCCTAGGCACCAGATCCTACCTCTGGATTTTCCAAGAGCCCATGTTTTATGCCCTGTTAACAGATTTGTATGGGTTGTATGTCTTTTGAGATCGATCACTGTTCGCTACAGTCCTATTGTTCTTCACCTATTTCATTTCGTACATTGTATATTAAAGGGTTCCATAAGGAAATATGACTTCGGAATTCAACGACTGGATATATTCCCCTACTTCCTTTAATGTATATGTACAAGTATTCCCTTTTGGACTTGAGTACTACGAGGGGTTATCAAAAAGTTCGTGGACTAGGGCCATAAAATTTAAAACGCTTTAGGTACATCAATGAATTTTAAAATATTTAGTAAGCATCATCTTTTCTATCTATAGAATAAACCACGATTTATAAGTTTTATTTTTTAATAAATTAGTAATGTTTTTATAAGCGATGGCATGTCCAGGCGGGGCAACCGCGAACAGGACGTTTTTTCAACCTAAGTGTAACTAAGAAAAACTCTTACGATATAAGCACTTGTACGGAAGCCGGTTGGTGCCAGGTAGAAAAAATATTTTATCTGGCGGCCGCCAGAAACTTATCTGGCGGCCGCCAGATAAAATATTTTTCTACCTGGCACCTACCGGCTTCCGTACACTTGACATCCAAAAATTCCGTTAATTCAGGCATGTGATGGGACACAATTGTTCTGCAAAATGTGCAATTTTTACCCCATTCTGTCCGTTCTATGAAATTTTATCGTATATTTTATAAGGAGTGTCTATACAATTAAGGGCTTGAAAATGACGTCAAAAAGGGGGAGTGTTTTTCCATCATTCTATAAAGTTTTGCCCCTGAAAAAATTGGTATAGACTTAGGGAAAGTTTAAACTGGTTACAGAGAAATAAAATGCATCCAGAGTACTTGTTATTAAATGCCGAAAGAGATTCTGAGAGATGAGCAGTTAATGTCGTTTTGTAGTCAAGGTGTGAAAAGTTAATCTCGTGAAAAAGTGACGTTGATCATATGTGTTTTATACTGAACTCCAACAAGCAAAATATGCTGGCATAATCAAGCGAGGATCTTTCCCTAAGTAAAGATTCATTTACAATTTTATATGCATTGAAATCAGCTGTTCATGACATTGTTATGTCATATAAACAAGACAGGTTTTAGGTTTTTCTAAACTCCAGGGAATCTCATCAAGATAAGTGTTATGAGACAGAAGGAGCAGGCATTGAGAAATAATGACGTTGTCGGACGTCATGAAACTAAACGACGACAGCGCCGGGTGATCATATAATGCCTTTTTTATTTTACAATAATTTGGCAAATTGTCAACGCATCAAGCTAAAATTTTTCCACACTTCTTAAACTTTTGTTGTTTAATGTTCCTTACAAATTTTGTAAACATAAACTACATAGTATTAATTTTATCGCATCAGTCCACGAACTTTTTGATAACCCCTCGTACTTCAGTCTACCTTGGAACATTTTGTTTTACATATGGAATTATTTACAAAAGTTATATGACAGGAATTTTTTACTGCAACCCTCTCTTTTGTTAAAAGTATATGTATCTTATTTTTTCATTTCCAGCGACAATGTATTTTCTAATAATCATTGACATATGTTAAAATCATCATAACGCTTTTAGAGTGTTCAGGTTTAGTTTGATTGACCGATTGATTGATTGTCATTGTTTAACGCCGAGTCCGCATAATTTCAGCCATATTTCAGCGGTGGTTTAGTATGAAGCTACACAATTTGAGAAATTAAGGCTTGCAGTTAAATTCAAATTTTAATCAACAATGTAAGAAACAAGATTTAGATATAGTTTGCCATCCAGTCCAAATACTTGGACACCCTGGTGTAAACACTCGGGTACGATCCATCGCACGTGCTAATGCCCCACGACGTCACTCCAGCCAACATATAATCACCATTCTTTTTGCAAACATAGGGACCACCACTGTCTCCCTAAAATGCATAAAAATAATCATGACGACGCCAATGCATAAAGATCATGCTGTAACTTCTATACTTACATTGCAGGCAGATTTGTTGGATTCGTATGGACAGATGTGGGAGTCAAAAATGGCGGCACCATTGACGTTTGACCAGAGGTTCGCACATTCAGTATTTGCGATATTTGTCATTTGGGCCTCCATTAGGATATCAGAGACAGATCCACCTAAAATTAAAAAAAAAACGGGTTAGACATGACATCATTCATAAGCAAATACATGAAATTGATTTTTCAATTACTAAAAAATTGAGTTAAATGAATGAAAAAGCGAAAATATGACAGCAAAATAACAGTAGAATTTAGTTGGCTTCATCTAACTAAAATATTTCAAATGTCTACAATATTGACAGTATTACTTCAACTACTTCGTTCTTACATATATAATAGAAGCATTTCAATGAAAATTATAGTATTCGTACATTGACATTTACTTCTTTTTTCTCCGTTTTCAGATGAAATTATTACTTGTACTGATATATTCAAACCTTTTATACGTACGTATATTTTCATTTATCAATATTAAATTTTATGGTAAAATATCATAGTTATTCAAATGCATTTCATAAGACTCCAAAGTATCGAAATTTAAAACCAAGGTATTGTAAACCAAGGTAGTAACAGTAAGCTATCGTAATTAGATTTGTTTCCTTAAAGTCCTTAAACCTTTCCTTGATCCTGAAAATATGTCTATTGACTACTGCGTAAGACTGATTATGTCATTTAAAAAAAAAAAGAATAAAGTGTTATCACGACTAACTATTCACATTCCAACATACCTCCTGAAGTTCTTCCCCAACCTGTGATAAAGCAATCAGCAATGTAGGTGAAATCTTCATTAGCATTTGTAGGTAGATTGGCAAGCTGGATATCCCCGCCAACAGTGACGGATGAAGAGAGTTCCAACAGGGCTATGTCGTTAGGGTAACCCCCACTGGAGGAAGAGTACTGGGGATGCTGTAATGAAGCATTTATTTGCGTTTATATATTTAAAATTCTTAAAAATGAAAATAAATCTATGTATTTAAAGACTTTCGGTGGGTGCAGAAATGTTTCAATAAATTAGGTGATCTGCGCATGCGCGAGAAGAGTTTGTACCATTATGACTCTGCTGATGGATCTGGTAGCACCATTTTCAGAAACTTTGTCGATTCCAGCTTCAATGCGCAAGTTTGAACGTGACATTCCACTGTAATTAACAATACCGTACAGAATACATATTTCACTTCATTTTGATAATTTTAATGACAATTTGTATTATTAAAGTATTGAACTTTTTCCATTCAGTCAAAGATTTTAGGAAATTCTTAGGACTTGAACTCTCATATTGCAAATTTGAAAATTATGTTTATGTAGACTGTGGTATTCAAAAGAAGATAATTCCATATTTTCGACTTTTAGACAAAAAAACTCCGTTTTTTCAAAATCCGAGTGGTTATTTTCGAATCAATTTTCAAAACAATAGCAAATAACGCGTACAAAAATGAGAATAAAAAAACAAAACAAATGGGAGTCATCATGCATACTCGACACAGTGGGCAGCGGTCAGAACCCAGTTTGGTCTGATGAGGGATCCTCCACAAATGTGAGAGAACTGCATGAACGAGAACTGACGGTACTGGAGGGACACCTGCCAGGGCCACTCCCCGGGGGAAGCCTCCTGTCCGTTTACAATACGATGGAGGTCGTCCGGAAACTAAAATGTGAGCATGTAAATATCATTGCTACTGCTTTGAAGATTCTATTAATGTTTACAATGTCATTCGAAAAATAGCACAAGGTTTTATTATTTGTATGTGTACCATTACTCCTTCAGCGAAACATGAATAAAGAAATCCTACCATGTGTGAGTTTATTGATATGTTACACTCATAGAGAAAGAGGAGATGACAATGTTGAAAAATTTGATAAATTGAAAATTTAGAGTAGTTGTAATCCAAAACTAAAATTTGAATAAAATACTTTGTATAATTAAATAATGAACACTTATCATGTTCCTTTTACTTTTTGAGGGATGAATAAAAAAATATTGAATTGATGAGAATATATACTGTTAGTTTAAAACGATGCTTTTTGGACTACATTTGTATTTCAAAATAAAAAAAAAAATAATAATAATGATTTGAATTTATATCAAAATTTTGAAAAGGTACATATATATACTAACTTCTGGTTTCAAAGCCATGCCACGAAGTATTTCTTTTGCAGGCTGGTAAATGATTGGCTTTGTAGCCGCGCCTAGAATAGAAAAAAAAATCTCTGAGCACTTTTCATTTATCTAAAGATATCTAAGCATATGAGGAAAAAAGATATTTATTTATTTTTCTTTCTTTTTCATAGTAAATATAATTTTTGAGCTGTAAGTTGAATTCGTGCAATTTTCTCTCTTTGCAAGCAAAATTATCACTTATAATTAATTTCAAATAGGAAATATCTTAACGTTACAATTTAGAAAAAAACAACGTGATCTTGAATACTTACAGGCTAGGCCTAAGACTGCAACGAGAACAAGTACCTTCATCTTGTAGATGCCTTGTCGTCCTGTAAATGACTGGTCAAGCATTTATATACTATTTTACCCCCGAACATATGATGTGTTTCACAACTTAATGGTCATCTTAAGGAGCCCATATATAGTATTTAACGGTCCTCAATGGTCATGAAAAATAGCGACATCTCTCTCTCCCTATCTCTCTCTTTCTCCCTCTATCTTTCTCTAGCTCTCTCATGATCATTAATTACGTGTAAAATACAAGTACATGTAGGTGTATTGTATTACAGCAATATATTGCATGTTTGTTTATCCATACAATTAATTGATTGATTTTTTTTATATTCAGTAATAACTTTTATTTTCCTTTTCAAGAAAAAAAACCTTAAAGGTCGGAGTCAAAAGCAATGATCAAAATGACAAATAACGCAACTTATAAACCAATGCTGGAGATTTAAACTGAGTCATAATTTTTTTATCTTTTTAAATTTTGAGAACCGATTCATTTGATTACCCCCAATAAATGTTACAGCACTTATACATATTAAAAATGGACACGACTAACTCGTGTCAAGTGTAAAATAAAATCATAAAAATAATATTCAAATAATAAATGGTTAGATTTGTTAATAAGGGAATTGTAACGGTTGAGACATTGCAGAAAAAATACATACCTGTACCTGCGTAAGCGGGTTATGTATTTTTTCTGCAATGGTTGCAATCTTTAATCCCTGTATTAACACCCCCCCCCCCCAAAAGGAATTTTGTTGTGTATATTTATACTTTATCTGAATTAAGTGTTCTTACCAACGCTCTAGAATGCAGTTCACTTTTGAATTGCAAATTCTGATTACCAGTATCAAGTGGGGGGGGGGGGGGGGGGTTCAATTCAGAATAGTGAATCTGGAGTGGGCTTCACATCGACAATGGCATAACTCATTACATGTACATGTAACTGTGTTTTAAGCATTTGATCAACGTTCTAGAATGTAATTCACTTTGAATTGTAAATTCTGATTACCAGTATCAAGTGGGTGAAAGTATGTAAAATATCATATCATTGATCCGTACCTTACATTGATAAAGTGCTTAAAATGCAGTTACATGTAATGAGTTATGCCATTGTCGATGTGAAGCCCACTCCAGAATCGCCATTCTAAATTGACCCCCCTCCCCCAACACCAACCAGTGCACCACTGTGCCTTCCTATTAATAATTAATCGCTTCAGCAATTTAAACCAATAGTTCTTATATCTACTTCTGTGTTTTATGATGGCTACAGCGCTAGCTCACCTATCATTTTATAAGATAAGCTTGTGTACTAAATTATACTGAAATTGGACCAAAACTGTGTAGAAGGAATAGCATTTTGAAAAATTGTTTACAGGCAGACATACAGACGACGGCCACCTTACTATCGCATAAGTCTCTGACCAGTAAAGCTAAAAACAGAATATGAAAATATGGGAGCTCAAGAATAGTTAAAATGTATCTTAATAAAATCGCCCTCTGAAGCTTCAATATTTAATGTCATTTAGATTCAAATTCTCACTATTAATCCAGGGTGACATTTCAGTTCTATTTTCCCCCATTGAATTAATATCAGAAAAGAACATGTTAAGTTGTAAAAAGTTTCGATTTTTTAGTGAAAATGCAAATCACGTATACAAAAAAATATTGGCATGGAGACTTACAAGCACCAGTGGAAGTTTGTTGACTTCTTGACAAAAATACAAATTATGAAAGTATTACACAACAGTCGTCTCCCAGCCAAAAAAAAAAAAAAAAAAAAAAAAACTCGTAGAAATACATAAGCGATAAAATACATTAACCTTCATTGGAATCAATAGTGACCCATACATGTAGTAAAAGCCAGCTTCTCATTTACTGTAAATGACGAATATGTTAGTCAAAAAATCCTAATACAGAAAAATGAAACGGAGGCTTTCGCGCAAAAGGCAACCAGAAGTGGACAGAACATGTAAAAAGGCCATTAAACTATTACTTGTATTATAATAAAAGTGGAACAAGTGCCAGATTAACCGGGTTCTTCTTCTTCCTCTTCTCTTCTTCTTTTAAAGTACTGAAACCATGCAGTTAAGTATTTTCCAATATCCAAACTCCTGGCCAAGTGATTGATGGATAGAATGAGCTGAGTTTCTGTTGAAATTTGTTTGAAGCCATGTTGAGAATCCGTTAGTAAATTATTCCTATTGAGGTGTCCAATCACATGGCTGTGGACGATTTGTTCCATAACTTTACTGCAAACGGAGGTAAGGGAGACGGGTCTGTAGTTGACTGGTGCACTCCGGTCCCTTTCTTAAACAGTGTTGTAATATTTGCTGACTTCCAGTCCCGGGGAGCCTTGCCCTGGTCCAGAAATATTTGAAAAAGTAAGGTTAAGGCAGTCTGGCAGATACCTCATTCTGGCCTGTAATTATAGGGATTCAAATTCTGGAGTAATTTTTCATCCCAACATTGGTTGATAGTGTACTGGGTGTGATTGGGTGAGGGCTTGATCTGGCAGTTGTTCAGCAGGATTTTCCGACGTAAAGACAGATTTAAATTGGTGCATGGTTAAGGATATCTGCTTTCGTCTGTGTGTCACTCTACACAATGTAGTTCCTTTTGAGTGGAGCCACACCTGACAGAGACGTAGTCACAAACTTAAAAGTGGGGAAGGGGGCTCAAATCCAAGAAAGATCTAAAACATGTAATATTTTACCAAAATTCCTTGACAAGCAATAAAAAAAAAAAAAAAAAAAAAATCAGACGTTATTATTGAGGAGGTACATAGATATAGTAGCTATGTTTTCTATTCTTTATATATATATATATATATATATATATATATATATATATATATATATATATATATATATATATATATATATAAATTAAATATATATATATATATATATATATATATATATATATATATATATATATATATATATATATATATATATATATAGTACCAACCAGACCCAACCTGACACCTAAGCAGTCCCAGAAAGCAGTTCCCGGGACTGCTTTGGGACTGCTCTGGGACCGCTGTGGGACTGCTCTGGGACTGCTGTGGGACTGCTCTAGAAAGCAGACCCAGCAGTCCCTGGGACTGCTTTGTTCACTCATGCATGAAAAAGGTTCTGAGTGACATGATAGCTCCGCCCCTTGTGTATTCTGAATTTGCAGGCTCCCTGTTGTTGTTTTGTTTACTTCTAGCAGAGAGGTGTTTAAGATAAAGAATTAAAAAAAAAAACCAAGGATTTCTTAGAAATTTTTTAATAAGTAGAGATAGATTTACATGTAATTACTAAATGTCTTCAGGGGCTGTAAATTTACACAATTGTAGTCTAGAATTGATTTAAAAAAATGAAAGTAGTTAAAAAGGGAAGAAAGTAGTTAAAAAGGGAAGTCAGGAGATGACTTTTATTCCTTAAATTAAACTTTAATACAGGTGTCTGAAAAAAAAATATCTAGGCCTATTTAATTAATTAATGCTAATTAAAATACAGGTGTTTTAAAAAAAAATTAGGCCTATTTAATTAATTAATGCTGTCAAATTATGTACTCAATTTTTGCATTAGCACTATTTAGAAAACAAACAAACTTGTCATTACAGTAAGATATTCAGAGGGACATACTGTACTGGATTTTTTTTTAAATTGAAAAGGCTAAAACCATGCTAAAAAAGAGCAGGCTATTTTTTTTACCGCCCTCAAATAAAACCTAATAATTTTTTAAATGACAATAAAGTAAAATTATTCTACCATTCTTTAGTCATTTAAACAATGTGAACAATTATTGGGGGATTTATTTATGAATTTGTTTTTGATTTATAAACAAGTTATTAAAAGAGTAAATTTATTTAAAAAAAAAATAAACACTTGAAAATATTGGGAATTGTGACTTCTTTCTTATTTGTTTTGTTTGTGTTTTCCTGGCCAAATAATAAAAAGCAATACAGATGTATAAAATGGTGTCAACACCTGAGGTTTCAATCGCCTTTGGGCATGATTACCAGAAAGTCAATGCATGTTATATTGGGTATCAGTGTTACACATCACTGAACACGCTGGTCAACAATGACACTAATTTTAATCTATGCACTGTAAAAAATCTTTGTTTCAATAAATGTGTATAAATCTATTTCGGGATTAATTCATTTTGAACATAATCTGAGGGTTCCATTCGCGTGATTTACAGATGTACACTCGAACGTTTATATAATAAGAGTGTTATTGTTTTCTGTTACATAGAGAATCTAACGATCATAATAAAATTGGCAAGTCAGTGAAAATAATCATAACTGAAATATAATACTCGGCAAAATTTAACAAAGAATTTTTCAAAAGCTCCAGTACATAAGAAAAATGTATTCAGAGTATAGTACGGGAATCGGCCTTATTCTATAATTATAAGATTTATTTAAAGCTAGTTCTGATAGAAAATAAATAACTCAAGTTTAATTTTCTATAAAAAAAAAAAATAAATATGGAAACCAATATCAATCACAGTAAATTAAGAAATTGATTTATTTGGGTGAAAAATTAATATACCACATAACTGATTTTAAATATTCAGGTTATTAGTAGGTGTGAACGTCTTCTTTGTTCAATATTATTTGTTTCTATACGCCTAGTGTTATTTTTTAACAGTTCAGAAATAACTGTCGCATGAGAATTGTAAACATTTGTTGACACTGCTCAGAAAGAAATGCATCATCAATTTCAACTGCCTTTTATAGTTACATTGTTTATTGGAAATCTAAGTTCTGAGTAAGCTCCGCCCATTAAATTAATTAACCCCGCCCACTGGGACTGCTTTCTGGGACCGCTGGGACTGCTTTCTGGGACCGCTGGGACTGCTTTGTGTCAGGTTGGGTCTGGTTGGTACTGTATATATATATATATATATATATATATATATATATATATATATATATATATATATATATATATATATATATATATATATATATATATATATATATATATATATAATTATCGGAGAGCACGTATAAAGTATATTACATTACTATTACTTCAAGAGAAATGCTTACTCAGTTGTTGCTGGAAATAAAATAAATTTGTCATAAAATGAGGTTTACTTTATTTTCAACATAGCTGTGATTTTGTTCTACATTAAGTGGGGGGGGGGGGGCACAGACATACTATTGCCCCCCATATCTGAAAGTGGGGGGGCTTGTGCCCCCGCTGCCCCCCCCCCCCCCTGTGACTACGCCTATGCCTGATGCATCAGTCCGTTTGCTTTTTTATGAAGCTCCATAGGCGCTTTGGTTATGTTGTCCTCCATGACTATGTCATTACCATACCGGTTATAGCGCTCCTTACACTGAACATGAACTGCATTCTTCAGTTTTTTGTGGGCGGTTTGGTGTTTTGTTGAATGTGTTTGACTGTACTTTTTGAAGGTAGCTTTTTTTTTCTCCTCGATAGACGTTTTAGATCACGTGTAATCCAGGGCTGGTTAAACCACTGTGAAGCTATCTTCGAGGATACACATGTTTCCATCACACCAAGACATCAGCTGTCTTTGAATGACTTCCATATATCGTCTATTGACTGAGATTTGTTGCAGTTGGCAGTGAAGACATCACTGAATGAGGACATGCTTTCGTGTAAGATTCCATGATCAACCTTGGTCCAGAGATACATGTAGATCTTGCGACTCTGAAGTCTGATATGTATGTTACTATCAATACGTTGTCAACGGAAGGCTAGTTTTTCCTGATTTGTTCTTTCAGTCAAAATAATGCATAACTTAACTCAAACTAATCAATGTGATTGGTAGTGTTAATACATTAATTTAAAAATTAGATAGTTAATAGATGCTTCATTGTTTTTTAATATACAATTAAAGTATACTATTGCAGGGCCAGGAGTCTGCAAGACTTTAGGCGAAGGTTGCTCTTGCAATAAAATACTAATACAAAAAATGGACCAGTTAACTCGTGATGCAAGCAAGCACCTTGAAGTCTCGATGATGACACAAATATGTCAGACCTCAGTGTTAGTATGTGTACACCTGCATTTCTCTAAACAAGCACTGAAAATGTTTCATGCTTTTTATTTTGTCTGTAAAATGACAAGTTTACAAATAGTTGGAGATCCAGCTGCGGTAACTAGACACCCGGGTATACACACTAGGATAGCTACCCGAACACGTGCTGATTCCCCATGACGTCACTCCGGCAAGTCTCCACTCTCCGTTCTTCTCGCACACATAAGGTCCACCACTGTCACCCTGCACAAGTATTTTAAAAATCATCTTAAAGAGAGTTAATGCTTAAAAGTATTTCTACTTTATTTTTTTTCTCTCATTGGCTTCACTATTGCAGATTAAGTACAAAATTAATTATGGTTTTTGAAAAAAAATAATAAACTGTTTAGTTTTAAATATCTCACAATTTGTTAATTACTTACACTGCAAGCTGATTTCCCCTCTTCATACAGACAGATGTGGCTATTGAAAATGCTGGCTCCGTTGATTCCACTCCATCTATTTGCACATTCGGTATTTCCGATGTTTCTAATCTGTGCTTCCATCAGAGAATTAGATGTTGATCCAGATGCTGGAATTTTAAAGGAATAGTCTTTAAGTCTATTCTTAAGTCTTAATCTTTTCTAACATGTGTCTTACCAATAAATATTGTTAAGTAAAGGCAGATTATCATTTATTTATTACGTTTTGAATGCTATTTCATTTTGATTTTCAGTAAAGGAAAATTTATATACATTCCTGTTGAAAGGGTTTCAATGTAAGTTTAATGAATTCAATACAAGTCAAAATCTTACTTCCGACATTAGTTCGGCCCCAGCCGGTCATCCAACAGTTTTGAGGTTCGCTAAGGAAGTCCTCATTGCTTGAGGGCAGGGTCGCTAAGGCGATAGTGGACCCAAGAGGAAAAGCGGAACTCAGCTCCAGAACCGCAATGTCATTCGGGTAACCGGCACTCGATCCACTGTATTGAGGATGCTGAAATGTGAGGACAGATTGTTATACTAGCATCAGCTTACTTTTTAAGGTCAAGATCTAGTAAATGACTTTAGACTGTCTTTTTGGTGCTAGATCCATTATGACGTCATAATTGATTTAAGCTTAATTTTTCCCGTACTTTACGGCTGTAAAAGAATTACGTAGCAAATGAAGCATTTTCAATGTACTCAATTTGAAATCATGTCAAAAGTAACCCCGATATCTATATTTAATTTAATATCATTTTGAACTAGAGGCTAAGAAGAAATTAAAAACCGTTTTTTGAGAGACTGTAGGCAATATTGATACATTTCTTTTATCTGAGATGGAAAAAACTCCAAAATTTATACCTGGCTTTCTTCGTTTTTCATTAAAAATTACAGTTTAAAATATATTTTTTCGTCTAGTTTTTCAAAAAACTATGTCCCGAAACACCCTATTTTTGCAAGCTATATTTGTAAAAGATCATTAAAAGAACTCGTTTCTCAAATTTGAAAAATCTGTAGGCATCTTTCATTTACTAGATCTTGACCTTAACTCTTTTTAACGTCCAAATCGAAGTTTCATATATATACATGTATAGCTGCAGAACTGTAGCGTCGACAATTCAGTGTGTAAATAATGGTCTAACAATTAATATGAAAAAGGTCAGTCAGTATTTGACTCAATGAATAAATTGTCTTTGCTGACAAGGTCATTGTATCGACCATAGAACTTACGAAATGATGACTTTAAACGAGACTGCTGATATTCTTGTTTCATCAACTTGTTTGTGAATAATTTACCTCGTTTTAGAAATTGTACATACGTAGTGCATGCTCTTGTGTATCGAATCAACTGAGAGATATAAACCCCGTATGCAGGTGATGAAGGTATTGCTGCATAAGTAAGGGAAGTTGACTATTGAAAAGTTAAAGTCATCGTGTTTATCATAAAGCTTGGTTGTTACATTACCATTAAAATCCTTTTCAAGTAAAATATCCAAATATGAAACAGATGTGTCAGACTCTGTGGTATCTTTTATCTCAAGCTCACCAGGATATATCGTATCGACATAAGAATGGAAATAGCCATTGTTAATTGACAATACGTCGTCGATATATCTAAATATCGAGTTGAAGGCCACAGCAAGTGTTTTCTTCTTTTCACGTATAAGATTTTGGACAAATTCTGCTCCATATGAATACAAAAAAAGTCTGCTAATAACGGGGCGCACTTGGTACCCATGGGAATTCTAATAGATTGTTGGAAGACCTGGTCTCCAAAAACCAATCTGATATTGTCAATCAGAAACTCAAGCATCTTTTTAATGTCAACTTCAGAGTACTTGTGTGTACAATCAGAATGTTTTTTAACAAAATAATTTTGCAAATGACCAATGACAAGGTAAGTAAATTTACGAGTTCCATTTTTATTGAAAAAGCAGCTGTCAATGATATCAAAAAGCCTTTTAAAATACTTTTATTTCGAAATAATACTCATGTATTCTCTAATAAAACTCTGGATTTTTTTTTGTCGTGCGTCGTAGGACAGTACCCTGTGCATATTCAAGCATAATAAAATGTTTATTTTTGTCTATATTTTATCAAAAAAAAAAAAATAAATAAATCAGATGCACTTAAATATGATAAATAGATAAATAAGCATTTGCTTAAAATTTCAGCTTAGTGCGCCCATTATTTTTCGATAAAACCGCTTTGTTCACGATTTTACTGACAACCCTCGTATATCGATACATGTACTATGATCACCGCCACATGGTGTATATATGTCTCGCAGTTGATTCTTCATGTTCTCTACACGTTCAATTCTTAAACTGAGGCAGGCTACTGATAAATAAGTTGATGTCACAGTTATATTATCCTTGATAAGCAACATTTTGTAAATTGTTTGGCTTTGTTTATAAATATAACTTATATTTTGTTCGAAATGACTGGCTTTGTTCAGATTAATTGTCAGGCTTTTGTTTACTTACTGCTTTGCCTATGGTTTACTATATTCAACTGATCAAGACATAGGGGTCACAGCTGGTGTTACCAGTCCACAGAGAATGTTTACTCTTCATTGTACTTGGTCCATGTTTTGCGTTTCAAGCAGTCAGTGTTTTCCCTACTCCAAATTTTCAATGTTTTATTGGATTTTGACTATGGACTAGATTACTGTTCGTAATATTCAAATTTCTTGAAAAAAGAGCATTTCTGAGAAAACGTACATTATCTTTTTTTCTGATAACTTTGTACTATGAAGGATACACTTAACGTTCAGTATCTTTGTTTGTATCAATAACCAAAATAGATGTGTTAAATGAAGTAAAAAAAAAATATATGATCAACATGAAAACATTATACTTACATGACAAAGAAAAAAGTAATAGAAGTTTTTGCATAAAGAAACATGGTTTACTTATTCAGCAACACAATGAAGAAGAAAATACCCCTTAAATCATGTTTCATTTGAAAAGACTTTAAAACAGAGACTTTCACTGAAATTAAAGCTTTATTGTGGTATACGATATACTTATTACCAGGGAATAATGTCTCTGTCTGGAAATCTAAAAGTTTCTTTTAGTATAACAGCTGAAATATCCATTGTATACTTTGCAAGGTGACATGAATATGATATTACATCCTTTAAGTAGCAAACATTGTTTATAATATTTAGATAGGTGGATAGATTTAATTTTGTTTCTACCTTAAAGGGGCCTGGACACAGTTGCATTGCCGTTTCGCTTACAAGTTAAAATTTCCATTTTTAATCAAAAGATAACTTCAGTTAAATGAATTGAACTTATATAAAAATTCTTAAAAATTCTATTCTTAAAACACAATGATAACGATATTCTCCATAACGTCACGTCAAAATTCTGTGTTAACTTTGTAAACATGGACACGAATGCTGTTACTGTTTTAAAATATTTACGTTTTACCGGGCGTGTTCAATTTGTTTACTCTGCACACAAACTGAGCACGGACCGACAATATTCATTTGGTGAATTGATTTTCCTTTATCACATTTTTACTCTGAGTTTTCTAGATTATAATTTAAATGTTTTTTCGTTAATACACAACAATTTTTCCACTTTTCTTAAATATTAAGGATAAAGTTTGCTTCGTGAAAGGCAATCAAACCCGTCTCGAAATTCGTAGTTTTAATATTTAAAAAAATCTGTTAATTTCCAGAAAAAAGAAGTTTCTAAACACGCTTTTATATTTTGGCGTGAAATGCTCTGGCAACATATCTGTAATGATATTATACTAAAAATTCTAGAAAATATAAGCTTCAAATCTGAGTCCAAGCCTCTTTAAGTCCTTAAACCACAAAGATAAACTATATTAAAGCAGAAAATGCTTCACAAAATGTCAAGGTTTCATATTTGGTCTATTTTGATTAGTAAGCTTAAATATGTGAAAAGTGATATTTACTTTCTTCAGTTCTAGAGAAGGAATAAAAAACAACAATTTATACGTTTCTAAATCAAGCCATTGACTTTCTTCATTAGGATATTTAACTACTTTCTGTTAAGTTCGACATAGGCAGGGTAAACGAAGAATATAGATCTAGGAATCCATTATCTCTTTGAATATATGGTTTGTCTTCGGTTCCCTTTGAAACTTTAAGATCCAAGTAATCTTATTTTTATTGATTCATCAAGAATTTGAAGATTTAAAAAATACTGTTCAATAGCATCAGCTTGCTTACATATCAAATCTACATACACAGTACTTTAAAAACAAACATCAAATAAGATTTGTGTAGAAATATCAGATGGACTATCTCAACGTTTCCTCGAATTTCAAATACTTTGACCTTTAACTGGCACAAAGACAATATTTATAATATTATTAGGCATATAACTACACAATTGTATAAGCAATAAACACATTTGACAGGTTCAAAGTATACAAAAGCCTTTAAAATAGTTTTATGTTTTATTTTTATATGTTTATGCTTATGTTATTTATGTTTATGTTTATATTTATATTATATGTCAATAAGGTTTTTATAAAAGTTTTTTCGGAGTTTTCCTTTCTATACAGATGTTCATTTACAATTTTTAATGCAGCCTTAGGGATTAACATTTGATTATTTTTTTCAGAATATAATATTAACTCCCTAGAAGGTTATTCTTCAGAGATTTCATTCTCTAGCCTAAAATTAAAAATACAAAGAAAGAAATAAACACTTCAAAATTTAATCCAATGTTTATTTTTGATTGAACTAAATAAGAGGGGGATACTTGAAAAAGGATTTATCATTAACAGAAATATCCCTTTATCTTTTAAAAACTAAAATTAGAGCCAAACAAATCTTGCTTAACATTTATATCTCCTCATATCAAATTAAATGGTGCGTTTTTTTTTAAGAATCAAATTGTTTTTATCTGTGAGGTTGATTAATATATAAGTAGTTAGCATTTTTTTGTAGCTGTATCAATGCATATATTTTAGATCTGACCTCCTGTTATGTTTACAGACTATTGTAAAAGATAATTAACACACAAATACCATTTGTTGATTAAATGGAATATTTTTTTCCGAGATGCTCATTTAGCGATGTCTGTAATGCAAGAAGGACAACTATTACCTCTTACTCTAAATGAATAGAAAACACTATGAATTTTTAGCGATATCAACACTATTGGTAATAATGCCAAAAATAAATCCTCTGCTCTTACACTTATACATGTATAATGGATTGGTGATCTGCATCATAACCTTAATAATTTTAACATTAAAACATATACCATTAATCTGTTATCTCAAGGCACTCAACAGGCAGGTGTTTACATCTGATTATTTTATCAAAACTTAATGAATTTTGTTTCTTTTTCACTAATCGGGTTTGAAATAGAAGCAAAACAAAAATCATTGCGCTGCCATGATATATATCCAATCAAATGCTATTACATTATTGGCAAACACCAATTTTTGTCGAAAAAATCTTTTACGATTTTACTTCAAATATTCTTAGTAAATTCAATTCTTGTGAAATCATCACACCATGGATAGAAGCGAGGAGAAAAACCTCAACGGAATATGGAGATAACGAACAGTAATAAAGCTCAAAAGTCAATTAAACAATACAAATCGGAAGCAGAGCAAACACGAACCTAAAAGCATTAGAAGTTCGACCAAGTGCCATGGAGGAGTAAGCATCCCCCTGTCGACCAGTCACACCCGCCATGTACTCCTTGTCATGTTTATCGAGCAAACGGAAAATTCCGTAGACAATTCAGTGTGTAAAAAAAATGGCCTTACAATTAGTATGAAAAACGTTAGTCAGCATTCGACTCAATATGATATATTGAAATTGTTGACAAGGTCATTGTATCGACCATAGAACTTGCGAAATGCTGACTTTAAATGAGACT